CGCCGGGGAGCGGCGGGGAGCGGGTCAGCTCTGCCGGCAGCCAGCGGGGCCAGTGCCCGCTTCCCCTTCTGGGCCTGACTGTTTCAAAGGTTACGGAACTCTTTAACTTCGTACAGTGTTTTTTACCGAAGAAAAATAAAACTAAGCTGGCACACAGCCGTTTTCCTCTGGCTTGCAGATTTCTCTGCGATTTAATAACGTGGGAAAATACTAACAGTTGCGTTGATTGCATTAGAATCGGAGGAAGTTCGGACTTCTGGTTCCTAAGATGAACATACCAAGTGCATCCCTTGCCAGGAGTGTACCTACTGATAGAGAATTAACCCACGGTAGTGATGGACTTGATCGTTACTTGCTGCATGTGTAAATTAAAAAGTATCGATTTTGCAATCAGAGACAATAGATTTAAGGAGAGGAGTCCTCTGGAGTTGGATGTAATTGGAATGGAATCTATTTACTGCCAACTTGCATTCCTGCAAAAATATTAAATGTGCTAATCAGCTCTCTTCTCAGTGCTGTCTTCTGTCACAGGTATAAAGGAAAGCTGTTTTTTTTGTTTTTTTTTTTTTTTTAAAATGGGCATGAACATTAATTTCTGTTCTGTAGAATGATCTCTCTGTTGGTTGCTTATGCACATTTTTATGTTAGACCACCATTGGGACAACCTGCCAGGCTTCACTAAAGAGTTTAAATCCTATTGAGAGCGAGTGGGTCTATGTATTTTTCATCAAATTATTTACAAGAGATACATCCGACTATCTAATTTACAGTAAAGAGCAGCATGGAAATAAAGAATTTACAAATAGGATATAGTTAGCTGGGCAAGTGGATTTTTCTTTCAATCGCCAAGTTACTGGAATAATTAAAAGCAAAAATACAAGAGAAAAATGTGAGCTCGCATTTTAGAGAATTTAGACTATTGAGCCAGAATTCCAACAAAAAACACTCTGTGGGAAATGTTTAACTTTGGGTATGTGCCTGTTAAGAAGCTAGCGAGGAGAGAGGAAAAAAAGAAAAAAAACCCCAGACCGGGACGTGCTGGTCAGTACTGATCAATTCTGATCTCTTCTGCTCATTTGTGGTGTGGTTTTGTTTCTTTTTGTTCCTCCAATAAGGGGTTGATAGTGTTCTGGTACTCGGGATCAGTGTACCAGAGCTGCTGGTTCTCTAGCAGTCCGAAGGCTTTCTATTGTAATTGTTCCAGCAAATTAGTGTCTTGCTGGAATGCAAATCTAGGTCCTCTGTGTTTTCTTTGGTGAATATTTGTGTTCTTCTGGTTTGAAGACACTAACGGGGCTATTTTTTCTCAGATTTTCAAAAGCAAGTTTTTGATAACTTTCTAGCATTTCTTTGTCATTGTGGACATGAGTGTTATTTATCAGCATTAAAAAAAAATAAATCACAATGGTCTGTTTGTCTCTGAAACAACAATGGTACTCTCCTGTTGTCTTCTAACTGTAGCAGAGGCCTAATCCCTGAATGGAGATGTTACCGTAATGTGAGTGATATGATAACTGGTAAGGATTCATCAGTTTTAGTTACATATAAATGAATATTTACAGGCTAACACTTTATAGGCTTCTTTGAGAAATATCTTTATGGTTTCCTGTAATTCAGCCAGCCCCAGGTAGAGAACCTGTTGGCTCTGAAAAGTTGCTGCTGTTCTGGTAGTGTGTCAGTAACGCTAAATGCTAGTTCAGGAGGAGAATAAGTGAGCCTTTGAGTGAGACAGCGCATCTTTAAAAGGTGTGGAAAGAATAGAGGAAGATGGACCCTTTTTGTTAACTAAAATGAGATAGATATATGTGTTTTTAAGGAGCTGTGCTCTTCAGTAAAGCTGTTGTGTACATATTTTCTGTAAACACAGAGTAATGCCATTGTGAAGCACATGGTGCACTCAGTTCTTTAACAGACAAACATATGCTTAAGTGTTTGCTCAACTAGAGCCAGCTTGATAAAATAGAGGTTACGTTGGAGGATCTGTGGTGGTTACTGGGCACTAGCACAAGCATTTGCCCACACCTGAAACTTTCACTGGGGTGTGCAGCGCTGAAGAGAGGCGGCAGCCTGAGGTTTCCTAAAGGCTTTGAAATGTGCAAGATACGTGGCCACTCCTAGATGAGCACATTTTCAATGTGCTGCTTGGTCTGCATATTGTATTAAAAACTAAAGCCTGTTAAACCCAAATCCCTCTGGAGCGATTGCTAATAAATGAGGAAGATGTCTCGAAGAATGGGTTGCAAGTGTTCTCACTGAGTACAGTGAATGAAAACATTTTAGCAGAAGCCTTGAATTCCCAGTGCTGCTTCATATCTCTATAGCTTTTTTATTATATATACACCTCTCTGTATCCATCTCTTTACCATATATTCAGTAAGGGAGGAGGAAGAGTTATGGGGGTGGCAGAAGGGTGGCGGCTGGGTCTGATGGAGGGAGTGTGGAGCAGGTACCACAGGCATTTGCTGCTCCATGGCTCGGGAGATGCACTACACTGCCCTGTGTGCTTTGAGGGGCTGTGGTTCTTTTCTCCCTCCTGGTCTGTAAAAAACTTTATCCTTGAATTCATGGGGATTCTCGTGTTCATTTTTCCCCATGTTTTACATCTTTCTCTTACCTGAACAAACACCAAAAAGAGATGCAAAAATTGTCTAATTTTGTGGTGTTACTGGCCAGGTGTTGGGTTTGGGCTTTTTTTTTTTTTTTTTTTTTTTTTTTTTTTTTTTGGTATAAGACCATCTTCCAAGTAGTAATGAAATTACCTTCCATGTGGGGTGGTGTGAAGTGTTTGCATCCCCAGTCTGCATTTAAAGACACTGAATTAGCAGAAAACAACCTAAGGTCACCCGAGACATAGGTGGCAAACCTGTGGTCTGGACTGTGAGATTGCTTGCTCTATGATGCTTATTGCCATTGCTGTTTCTTAGAGCTAGTGAGGTTGCAAAGGGTGAGGCAAAGCAGGAAAGCATTGTGATTTTCTAGTGGTTATCTTGCATGTGTGACTGCCATTGAATGTTAAAGATGGAAGGTGTATTTGGTTCATATATTCTGTCTTCAGTTTTGTAACCTCTTTTTTGAAATGCAGATGCTCTTTTAGTGTGGTGCAAAGTGCATAGGTCTATACAGGTCAAAACACTTTGTCAAGGATGCTGTGCTTCACGTTGGTCTGCTACCCATTAACTTTAGTTTGTGAAATTCTGATGGTTGCTATGCTTTTATCGGATCTTTCTTCATATTAGTTTTTAAAAGCTATATGAGTGTTTATGGAAGGCACATATAAAAATATCTCTAAAACGTAGTTTTATTGTAGGTATTTAGAATAGGTTCTGCAATATTAGCCATAAGGTTTTTCAACATTTAAAGTCTTTACTTTTGACAACCTACCTATGTAGAAAGGTTTAATATCCCTTTGGGGAGGAAGATGAGGGAGGAGATGGGAGAGTGTCATAAAACCAGATGTTTTGTTTCAGACAAATAATGAGAAATGTATCTCACAAAAAAGAATTGAAGAGTAAGTTACTGTTTTCTGTTTCTTGTCAGGTGCTAGTAATGTAAAGCCATTGGATGGTGTGAAAATTCTTGATTTAACAAGGTTTGTGTTTTGTCTGTAATTTGGAACAGCCTGTCTAGATCCAAATATTCTGATAGGAAAAACTAAGAAAACAATCTCATTTTAATATTACAGGGTGCTTGCAGGGCCCTTTGCCACAATGAATTTGGGAGATCTAGGGGCTGAGGTTATCAAAGTGGAAAGACCAGGTAAGATTTTTTAATTATCTATTTTAGATATAAGAAGAATGTGGGGTAGTTTAACAAATAGTTGGTTTACTATTTTTAATAATACATGACTGAAAATGCAAGACTGAAAGCTTTGGAAAATATATAGAAAGACGCTGTGTTTATTTGGTGATGGTGTGTTTTTGGTGACAGTGTGTGTATGGTATTGTGCTAAGAAAAAATTAATTTTGTAGCTATTTGTATATTTTTTGAGCCAGCAGTCTTTAAGTTTTGGTAACATTTTGTATCTTGTACTATTTCTGACATGGTAGAGAACTAGTTATTAGTAGGTTTGCTTATATATGTATGATCTTGGATAATTTTATATAGAAATACATCTTACTACTCAGGATTAGAATACTGATAAAATGACAGGCACTATAATTTTGGAAACAGGAACTTCAACTTCTGTTTATATTTTTATTATTACAAGTTAAGAACGTAGTATGAGCATTTAAAAATATATATATGTTGTTTGTTAGCACTGTTTTTGTGTAGTATCATACAGATCCTAGTGGGGATGACAAGCATTCTGACTGGTGGAGTATAAGGTGACTTGGCATACTATATCAACTTTCTCCTGAGAATAGTTTCAATATTATAGTAAAGTTTCAGGTTGTTAATTAAAAATTACCTCGTCAGAGAAATCTTTCTTTGGAATTGTGCAAAGCAAACAAAAGTAAAGATACAACTACCTCATGCAGAAAATAATAGCCCAGGATCTGATATTCCTGTATGGGTGGAGGTGGGAGTTCATTGGAAAGGGAAGATTTCTGAATTTGCATGAAAATCTTCATGCTAGCGCCGAAAGTGTCTGAGGTTAATGAGCTTCGAGTGTGTGTTTTCAGATGCAGAAACTTGTGTAGCTCCTTCTGAGTCTGATTGGATTTGGGTAATTAGTTTCATAAGTAGAATTTATTTTATTTTTGTGTATTGTAGCTTAACACAATGGTTTTATTTTTTCCACTCAGCACATGCACTTATTCAAAGAGTTGTTGAGGATTCAGTAGTGGTAAAAAATACTTCATTCTTATGGAATAATTACACTTTTTAGTTCATAAGACCATACAAGAAGAGTAACAAATTGCATGACATTCAGTTCTATTTTTTAGAAATATTCCCCGCATTTGGCTTTCAGTTTTATGCATCGTTATGCATTTGAGGCATGTATTTCTGCCATAGCAGCTGCGTGTTATGATGTTGTGCATTTTCTTCTTCTTTAAGTTTCCATGTTTTAAGTTTCTCTCTTCTGGTGTTATTATTAGTTTTGAAAAGAGCTGTTGAAGGTAATTACACACTTGATATACTAAAACCCATCACATTCCCTATATTTTATTCTAAACAGGAACTATTGAATGTTTGAACATTTAACAACATGCGATGTCTAACAAAAGTTTTGTCATGGAAACCTACGGGTCATCCTTAATCACTCACTATTATTTCAAATGCTTTCACTTTTGTGACAGGGCAGAAGCCGCATCATTTTTTTTTCTATCAGATGAGACTGACAGTGATATTATTCCAGGTATCTAGGTAGTAGGAGTGGAGCAGTGTCAGCAATCAAGTATGAAGTAATGGTTTTGGAGATTTTCATTGCAGCTCTTATGAGTTTTGTTTTGTGATTGAAGGAGAAGGGCAGCCTGAGAATTCTGAATTTAAAACATTTTAGAATGTAAATAGCTCATTCTGTGAGAAGGTGTCTACTTTCACAGGAGTATTAATCCATAAAGGGTAGTAACCACATTAGTGTCCTACATGTAAAATATTACTGAAATGTTTTGTTTTGTATGGCTTCAAAGTGGTAATATACAGAAGAGATACCTTTTTTTTTTTTTCTTCCCCCAACATTCCCAGTTTAACCCAAATAGTTCTCTGAGGTACTGAACAGTACAAATAATGATGAGTAATTTAAATGTTTGTGTAACTTCTACCACAGTTGACCTTAAATGGCTTAAGACTTTGTGTTACCATAGTGTATAGCATAATTATGACAGTGGCTGTATTGTGTTAGACTGAAGGTCCTTCAGCTTGTTTCTGTATCTATGCTAGTACCAAAGAGTTTTCTGTGTTGCCTCACTAAGGAAAGTTTTCACTCACATGAAGTTAACAGGTAGATAAAGTCTAGATACTGAAATAAATATAGGAGCGTGCATGCTTGCTAGCACTCAGAATGATGATTATATCTGAATTTAAATTTAGCTTTAATTCTAAATAAAATAGATTGCCAGTCTTAGTTTTAATTGTAATTAAAATAGATTTCCAGTCTTCGTGACATTTAAAGGTTTAAAGTTGGAAATTAAGGATAAATCATACATCAACATCAATGTCTGCAGCAGCTTTAATGCCATCTTGCCTTTCTGTAAGGCAGGAGCATTTCTGGAAGGGCTGGAGGTGGGGGTTTGCACCAGCTACAGCTAGCGCTTCTTTCTGTTGGCATTCTGCAGCATGCAGCTTAGCAAGTTGCGGCTAATCAGTGGTATCATGACATTGTGTCCAGAGTGTTTTAGGAATGGCTTATTGATCATGTGCTCTATGTGACTCAGTGCAGGGCAGAAGCTCCTTCTAAATTCTTCTGAATTGCCTAAAATAATGCTATGGTAGCTCTGCTTTAGTTAAAAAAAACAAGCAAACCTTCTCCCTCTCCAATAACCCCTAAAACAACCCCTAAAACCCAACCCACAAAAAAACCCAATCAAACCCCCCACAAATATATTGGTGGTCTGTGGCTGTATATTAATATTTTAAAGCCTAAAAGTAACCCTAGCACTAGCAAACACTGTTCTCACTTTCCTTAATCATGTTCACTTTTAGATTTTTTTTTGACACAAATATCCTAATATTAAACTAATTTTTGTCCTGCCTGCTAAGTGAAGCTTAGGTGGTTTAAATATGACACTGGAGGAAAACTTTTAATTATTTTTATTTATTGGCAGTGTGTTATTGGACAACTCTGAAAATGTGATGATATTTCTTTCAGGAGCTGGTGATGATACAAGAGCCTGGGGCCCACCTTTTGCTGGAACAGAGAGTGTTTATTTTCTCAGTGTCAACAGAAATAAAAAGGTAAATGGAGCACTGTAATGAACATTAACCTGTGTTTTCTGTAATTACAACTGAAGACATAACACTTCTTTGATTCTTAACATATATAATGGAGCAATAGTTACACTGGCCTTCAGTTATGATGAATAAATTTCAGGAGAAGAATGAAGAGTTCTTCTGAACAAAAAAGGCTTCAAACCTCAGGTGTGGTGCTATGGTCAGCTGAGGCAAATTCCGAAGGCAGGAGTCATTCTGCCAGTCCTCACTTGCTGTTGCAAATTGGCTGAAAATGAACCTGGCTGAAAGTAAAGGTTATTTTATTTAAAGGATCATTTTTGTCAGATGCGTCAGCTCAGTTGCCCTGCATCAGCTGGAGCTGGAGGAGAGCAGGCATCATACCATGGTTAGGTTGGCTGACGGTAGCTTGGGAAACTTCAGGATTTAGATGAAGTTTCATGATGTGCTTGAGCTGTTTAAAGGCTTGTGGCCATTGAAACAAATGTTTCTGGTGTCCCCACCTGTACTGGCAGTAGTAGGTGCTGTGCAAACATGCAGTGAACAGACTGCAGTGCAACTCCCAGCTGGACATCTGTCAGATGTTTTTGGTGCTTCTCTGATCCGTTATCAAGATAGTTCAGCTTGCTTTACCCTACAGAATATTTTTTGCAGGGGGAGGTGGGGTGTTTGTTAAAATTTATTTATTTGATTGAATTGTAGTGTGAAACTTGACTGTTGTTATGTTTAGAAGAGGCTGATAATCCCCAGAAGGGACTTTCACATAAATTACAGGTGGGTTTTTTTTTTTAATCCCCAGAGTATAGCCATCAACATGAAGGATTCCAAAGGAACAAAGCTAATCAGAGAGGTAGGTTTCGGTAGCGTGCAACCTGTTTCTATTTTGTATTATTTTGATCCTGAGTAATAAAGAATAAACTATCTTCACTTCAAGTATTAACTTGATTTCTGATAATTAAAAATATGTACGCGTGCAGTAAATTTCTTATGTAGCCTCTGTACTCTGTGCTTTTGGACTCAATGCTCAGTGTAATTTCTAATGATTTTTAAATATAAAATGTACATGAAAACGTCATCAGAAGCTTCAAATGAAATATTGTGAGTAAAAGGTCTAACAGCTTAGTGCTCTCCTTTTAATGTTGCTGTATATGAGCTTGCTGTACTTCTTGATTAGAAAGATTTAAGCTGGACTGATCTGATGAAGTCAGTTGAGCAGTTTACAAAGAGGACATACTGCGTTCCAGTATTTGCATGTTTTTGAATGTTACGGTGTATTCATGACTTGAGCTGCTGTGTATCTTTGAGAAATACTGTCCTGTAGGTCAAACTTAGTATTTGTTGGGTGTGTTGGTTGTTTGTTTTGTTTTTTTTTTTTTTTTTTTTTTTTTTTTTTTTTTTTTTTTTTTTTTTTTTTTCTATTTTTTCCATTGAAAAATTAATAAAAGCCCCACATTTCACATTCTGTGAAACTTGTGTTTTGTCATCCCTTTTTTGATCTTGAGAAACAGAAGACCTGCTACTGGCTCGTGCTGTGTTTTTAGCCCTTCAGAACTAACACAGCGAAGAGGGTGAGCTGGCTTCTGTTACTGTTTCAATCAGTTCCAAGCATTTTTTCACAGTGGGACTGTATGTGGCCTGAAATAAGTGGAATTTGGTATTATTTTTTGGTGTGAATATTGCATTAAATGGAAATAGGTTGTCTGATACTTTTGACCATTTTCCTTTACTGTCAACTATGTAAAAGATACTACATATGCAAATCTTTGGAGTTTGTAAGCTCAGGATTCTGCAGTGCCTTTTCTCTTTGCAGAATGGAACTATTTATTGTTGATTTGTTATGAAGCTGTATGTTTATCTTGTAAAGGTTTTGGAAACAGACACTGTAATTTGGAATAATTTTGCATGGTATAACACAGATGTGGTTTTGGATAAACTAGTCAGATTCTAAATAAGGGCTATGAAGATTGTTCCTCTCACATAAGAAGACTAGCTTGTTATTTGACCTTTAAAAATGGTGAAAGGAAGAACTATGCAAGATGTCCACTGATTCCATGTATGTGGGCTGGACTTGTTTGAAGAATTAAGGGCATCTGGGCCTATGAGTCAGGATGAGCTGGAGAAAAGACAGCTTTAGTGTAAACTTTTTATGTGATTTCCACTATTTGTGGTTAGGAAGTTCCCCTTTTCTCGTCTTGACATCTGGGCAGGAAGATTGCTACTTGATTCTGGTTTTAAATGTGTAACTTTCTGCCTGCGATGTGGAGAACCTTTTTATGGTCTGTGGAGTTGAACAGCTGGTGACTTAAGAATTTGCAATATACCCTTTGTACTTGAGGCTCAGGTGCCTGGTTGAGTTTAAATCCCACATAATTTTAAATTCAGAGCAGCACCTTTCTTCTCCCTCATTTGTCATGCAAGAGCAGCATCCTCTCTGTCAACTCAGTGCCGGGCTTCCCACCCTTTTCCTACAGGTAAGCTCTCTTGTACCACTGTAATGTGGAGCTATCATGATGCTGAAGATAGGATAGCTGGCAATAAGAGTACTCAGAGCTACAGACAAATGGTTTCTGCCGGCAGCAATATTAATTTTTCCCTTAGCTGTCACTGAAATAGTCACGTATGTATGAGAATTACTTCCTAAGACGTGTTGTTAGGGAATTTCTAGTGCGAGAACTACCTCTGTTAGATACTTACCACGCTAGTTGTGGAAATGAGGAGATCTCCTGTGACAAAGTAATTTATTATAGTTTCTTTCCTTTAATAAAGTTGCTTTCATAACCACTACAGCTTTTTGTTCCTTAAATCAATGGCATCCCTGTCTGTGATATAGCAACATTGTGTCTGAGGTGATGAGGCATTATTGAACTGTGACTCTCCTTGTGGAGTTGTTCTTCATTCTGCTTGATTTAGGGTGATAGTCTTTGGAAGTATTTGGTGCTGAGGGCTTGACATTCTATTATTGCATCTCCAATGGAACCAGAATATAACTTATTTTTGGCGTTTTGTCAAAAAGAATGTTATCTATAACAAGCTTTTGTTTTCAGTTGTCTCCTGGTAACATCAGGACAGTTGTGTATAGAATTGAGTATTACTCAGCAATGTGTTTGTTACTATGAAAAGTAGTGTTCATGTCTATAAAGCAATTGATGGCAAGGAGAAATTCAAGTTTGTGACACTAGTTACTCATAGATAAATATGTATTGAGTCCCGAGCCTAAGCCCTACAAAGAAAAGTAATAAGGTTATAATTTATATATTAAGAAAGGTAGCATGGCTAGAATAAATTTTGTTTCCCTCTCTTGTAAATTCCATATGGGTAGAAGCAGGCAAATCTCAGAATCTAGAATTATATTAAAAACAAAGAAGTAGAGAGTCTTCAGATATATGACAAAAGCAAAGCCTTGATAATTCAGGCAGTAGTATCAAGTGAGCTGAAGAAATCAGGACTCCTGTCTGCTTTTTTTCCTATGGCACAGCACTACAAAATACTTGTCCAAGGGTCTGCTCTTTCATAATTACACTATTACATGATTCCCACAAAACTAGTCTTTAGTCTTCTTTTTTTAATGTTTCTTTATTCTGTGTCACTTTAAGCCCTGTCTTCCTTCCTAATGCTTTTGGCTCACTGTTAACTGCCTTCCAAATATTTGTATGTATTCTTGAATGAAAATTAATTTTCAGTGATGGTATCTGCACCAGTCCCATGCTCTGACATCCTTTTGTTGTCATATGGCTCAGTATCTCTTTAGAGCATTATTCAGCAGTTATTGTCATTTTAAAGAACCCTGAGGATACCTTTCTCCGGAGTATTTAGCCATAACTAATTAAGTTTTCTGGTTTTCATGAAGAATTTGGGAGAACTCAGTTTGCTGGGAGGTGATGGCACTCCTTCTTCCTTTTCATTACCTTTAGCTGATAGGTCAGCGTGTCTTACGCATGCTTTCTCACTTGATATCCACACAATTCACACTTATGCACACACAAGTACGTATTTGTGTATATATGTTTATATGTGTGACTGCATATTCTCCTCTGTGTGGAGTTTTATAAAAACCAAAAAACCTCACCAAATCACACCCCCCCCAACCCCAAACAAAACCTTCAAATCTTATGAATAGTTTGCTTTATCAAGTTAATAGCATCATTCTTTGTTATTGTTATTCAATTTAATGACTACTTGGGCATGCACGATGCCTTTTTTCCTTTCCTGAGGTATAGATGTTGAGCACATCAGTGTCCTATCTGGAGTACATAGTATTCTAACTCACATCTGTATTGCTCTGTTAGTAGAGCTTAAAACACAAGTGACGTGTTCAGAGGACTTGTAGGACATGAAGTGTGAAATTTCAGTTGACAGTGGACTCAAAACCCCATGGAGACTGAAAATCCCTTTGAGCTTTAAGAACATACAGTTTTTTTGGATCAGAGTCTGAATGGCAGAAGCCTGGGTGCCTATGCTTGGTTCAGTGAGCATCGAAGAAGGTACTATAGACAGACTGCTGCCTTTATGCATTAAAGACTATTTCCAAGTGTCATGAACACTTCAGTGGCAGAGCTGGCAAAGCACCTAACAGGATGTTTTGAAAAATCACGTTTGTTTCTTTTTGAGAATATATGCGCTGCTAAACTGGGCCCACTGAGTCCTCACCTAGCACTGTCATTCCATGTGTGTTGCTCAGTACAAAGGTGTGGTGCTTTCTGACCTGCATGTCATGCTTCCTTCCTCAGTGGCTTGTAGGAGATGATGGTTCTTCGGTGTGAGACGGACAGCAGCTCTCAAACCATTTTAGCCCATACAATCACTGTAGATTGGATAGGTTATAGAATCACGGTGAAAGCAATGCACAAGTTCTAGCTGATTTTCTCTTGAATGAATTAAGCTAAGGCCGTAGTGCTACCAGTTTGAAAAGCATTTCTGTATGAACTGTGAAGGATTTAAATAGAAAATAAAACCCCCTTAACTTAATTTTTCATAAAGGCATAGTATTAAAGAACAAATAGCTTGCCCCTATTGTGTTCCCCTTACCTTACTTTGGTGGCTTACTCTTAATCCTGCACAGAGGATTAAGACAGCTGTAGACCTGATTGACCTACTTCTGTTTTTACTAGCAATTGCTTTAGCTCTGTGGAAAACTGGATCTTCTTGAGAACCTTCTTGTGACAATCACCTTTTTTTTAATTACTTCCACAAAGTTATATTCTGTTCACTTCTATGGAATAATGAATTAATAAACCAACCAGCTGTCCACATTGAAACTCAGCAATGCTTATTAAGAATCTTGACTGTTTCTCATTTTAGTATAGTCCTACAGGTTCTTGACATAGCCGCTTTAAAAATACTTAATAACCTATTTTAAAATGCACTTTTACTGTATGCTGAACTTAGTTTCTGTAAATGTTATTGTCTCTTCTGTGCATCCAATTGAAACATCCGTAAGTTGTGTGCTGCCTTGTCTGAATAAGAGTCAGTTTCTGTCTTTCCTGCTAAATACTTGCTGGCTTGGCAGCTTCTTTGGCCTTGGATTCAGCTGAAGAGCCAACACGTAAGAATGAAAATGCTTGCAATTGTTGTTATGATGACATTAGTTTATAGAATCTAGTCTAATACACTTTTATATATTAATCAGACAACAACTTCATAGTGTCAGAGAATGTGACTCTCAGATGCAAATAGCATTAAGAAACTAAATGGTTTATGTTCTGCTTAAAGTGCACAAACATGTGTGCCTGTCAGGGAATAGTTTCTTAAATTCCTGGTGGGGCAGGGAGGAACTAAGCAAAAAACCCTACAATTCCCCCAAGGCATACATCTTTCTTTTAATGTGTAGTTCTATTGGTTCAGAAGGTCTTAATTAGTCTTATTGAAACATGTGTGTGTATATATATATATCTATAACTTTTATAAAGAAAAAAGATGTAATTTAAAGCCCATGAAGGTTTTATGTTAATCAGAATGGTTTGGGTTGAAAAGGACCTTAAAGACCATCTAGTTCCCACCCCTCTGCCACGGGCAGGGACACCTTGCACTAGTCCAGGTTGCCCAAAGCCCCGTCCAACCTGGCCTGAACCCTGCCAGGGAGGGGGCAGCCACAGCTGCTCTGGGCAACCTGTGCCAGGGCCTCACCACCCTCACAGGGAAGAATTTATTCTTAATATCTAGTCTGAATCTACCCTCCTTCAATTTAAAAGCAGTACCTATGGTCCTATCACTACATTCCCAGATACAGAGTCCCTCTCCATCTTTCCTATAGCCCCTTTAAGTACTGGGAGGCTGCTGTAAGGTCTCCCTGGAGCCTTCTCTTCTCCAGGCTGAACACCCCTAATTCTCTCAGCCTGTCCTCACAGGGAAGGTGCTCCAGACCCTGATCATGTTTGTGGCCTCCTCTGGACTCAGTCAAGGAGGTCTGTGTCCTTCTGATGTTGGTGTCCCCAGAGCTGAACACAGCACTGCAGGGGGGTCTCATAAGAGCAGAGTAGAGGGGCAGAATCCCCTCCCTCGACCTGCTGCCCACACTCCTCTGGATGCAGCCCAGGACACAGCTGGCTTTCTGGGCTGTGAGCTCACATTGCTGGCTCATAGTTTTCTATCCATTAATACCCCCAAGTCCTCCTCCGCAAGGCTGCTCTCAGTCCAATTCTCGCTCAGCCTGTGCTTGGGATTGCCCCGACCCATGTGCAGGACCTTGCACTTGGCCTTCTTGAACTCCATGAGATTTGCACGTCCCACCTCTCCAGCCTGTCCAGGTCCCTCTGGATGGCACAGCCCTTCCCTCCAGCATGTCAACTGTGCCACACAATTTGGTGTCACTGGCAAACTTGCTGAGGGCGCACTTGATCCTCCTGTCCGTGTTGCCAACAAAGATGTTAAACAGCGCTGGTCCCAGCACTGATCCCTGAGGAACGGCACTTGTCACTGCTCCCCACTCAGACATCGAGCTGTTGATCGCAACTCTGAGTGTGACCACCCAGCCAACTCCTTATGCCCCAAGGGGTCCTTCCAGCAAACCTATGTCTCACCAATTTAGAGACATGGTGGTTGTGTGGGACAGTGTCAAATGCTTTGCACGAGTCTGTCTACTTAGATAATCTTTAACATCAGTAGATTTTTGGACTTGGTAATTCATTCAGATATGATGGGGAAAGTCACATTGCAGAGCTTGACAGCACTTTTCTAATTGAGATGACTTTAAGGTGTTCATTTTAACCAATAAAATTTTGGGGTTCCCTATTCTGGTTCTACATACAAGAAGTGAGCTATATGACTTCAGTTACAGTAATTGTAATCAATGATTTTAAAATGAAAAACAATTTATAAAATTATTTCTAAGGTAGAGAAAGTGTGAGGAAAAAAGATGCATTCTTTCTTGTTTTTCTCAAGTGATTTGCAGGTATAAAGGTTATGATTGTTCTGTAAAATATTGTCAAGTCTTGGGAAATTGATGTGATACTGATACTATATTATAGTTTTGTCTAGTCTTTTTAGGATTTTGACAGTTTTCTTTCTAGATACACAGTATCTCTAATATGTAGTTTGCAGAGATGCACGGTCTAACAGGACAAAAAAATATCTGTCTAGGTTTGTAAGTTTTGTTTTGTCAGAAAGACTCGAACCATTTTGATTAGTGAGATTTTTACACTGTTACATGAGGAATTTATTGAACTCTTGGAAGCTCATTAACAAATCTTACTCATCCTTTTCTTTCTAAAGCTTGCAGCGGTGTCTGATGTTTTTGTGGAAAACTACGTCCCTGGGAAACTGGCTGAAATGGGTCTAGGTTATGAAGACATTAAAAAGATTGCTCCTCACATAGTGTACTGTTCAATAACAGGTATTTTAATTTCCATTACTTGTGTTCATTATTTCCTCTTTTCCAGTCATCTTGTTATAAAAGTCATGTGGTTGTATGGAAGTATATTATTTTGATGTCAGTTAAGATAATTGAAAGACTAGGTGAGTTTGACTGTTCCATTCAAAAACAGGTATAGAAAAATTGGGAGGCAGCAACCATGTCAGCAGTTTGTAAGCTGTTCGACAGTGGCGTTATCATGCCAGCCCGACATGTTCCTGTTGACTTCAAATGAGCCAGGGTTGGCTGAGCTCCTTGGATTTGCTTTGAACTAGTTGAAAACTCAGATTATTTTTATTTTTCTCCAGCAGTTTTACTGTATCAGTTTACATATTGCAGGTTTCCAATCTCAGTGTTCTTTATTACACTTGAATCATCTGTGTCTTTTAGAAGTTATACGTTCATGGAAGTTTTACATTACTTTGCTACGGTCTATCACCTGGTAACTGAAACGTTAGGGGAGTTGTAGGTACTTGATAAGTGTTGGGAAGAGTGAAAGGAAAGTAGACATATGAATGTCAAGAACTGCATATATGTAAAAATAATTTTAAGTCTGAAGAACTGCTCAAAAACCACCCCAAAAAATCTTGATCAAGCACTAAAATTAAAGGATCTGTGCATATAAAGTCTGCTGCTAAAGTACAATTAAATTAAAATACAGAAATTGCAGATATTTGTAGACTCGTTTAAAGTCTTACTCAAAACCCTATTATGCCTCAATTTCTGAAGAGTAAATAGCTTTGGCCTTTTTAGTTACTGTGTACTGATATAATGTAATAAGAACCAAATTTTTAGTCTGTTGAGATGTATTTATCTTGTTTGTGTGGCATATGTCTGAAGAAGACAGGAGCAGAAAAGCAATTACGTTCAGGACTTGCTGAGAATCTCTTTGTTTAAATACATCTTTAGGTTGGTCAGTGGCTAGTTACCACAATGTTTTACACATTTGCTTGTGCATGTAATCTCAGCTGGAATCTGTCAAGTGTTTTTTGCTTTTTTTTCTGTTGTTTATTTGCTGTACCCATAATTAATGAAATAGAATAAAAATTATATCCAAGCTACAGTTTACGTGAGGCCTTTCGTTTGGTAAATCTGTTTTTCCGTTCACACTACATGTCAGCTTTTTGAATGCTTTTGTATTTTACTGATAATAGACAAAAACCTTACTTGAAGTGAGATCCTAAGGAAAGATACTCTTTAATGCACAGAATCATAGAATTGTTTAGGTTGAAAGTACCTCTTGAAACCACCTAGTCTAACCCCCCTGCTCAAGCAGGGTCAGCTACAGCAGGTTTCTCAGGACTGTGTCCATCTGGGTTTTGAGGATTTCCACAGCTGCTCTGGACAACCTCTTCCAGTGTCTGATCACCCTCACAGTAAATATTTTCCCATTTCGAGAAAATTTGCCTATGGCATTGTCCTGTCAGTGGGCATTACTGAGAAGGGTCTGGCTTCCTCTCGCTCATTCCCTCCCACTAGTATTTATATACACTGCTGAGATCCCCCCCGAGCTTTCTCTTGTTCAGGCTGAAGAGTCTCACTTGTCTTGCCCTCTCATCATGTGTCACACGCTCCAGTCTCAATCATCTTTGTGGCTCTGTGCTAAACTTTCTCCAGTAAGTCCACATCTTGTACTGGGGAGCCCAAAACTGGACACAGTACTCCAGATGTGGCCTTACCAGTGCTGAGTAGAGGGACCTCAACCTGCTGGTGACACTCTTCCTAATGCATCACAAAATACTGTTGGCCTCCTTTGCTACAAGGATACATATTTTTGTATGTTCTGTTTCAGTGCTCCCTAACTTCCTCTGCTGAGGGTGAGTCTTCCTTGCTGCATGCTTTCCCTCTAGTCTCAGGACTAGGACTCCCAAGGGCCATCTTTCCTGGGAAATACAGAGACAATGGCAGCATTAAATACGTCTGCTTTCTCCATGTCCTTTGTCACCAGTTTCCCTGCCTCATTCTGCTGTAGGTCCACGTTGTCCCTAGTTGTCTTTCTGTCACTGATTTGCTTGCAGACTCCTTTCTTGTTGCTCTTCCCATCTTTTGCCAAATTCAACTCCAGGTTAACCTTGGCTTTCCTAACTATATACTTGTAGGATCAAACAGCCACTCTATCCTCTTTCTAGGTCACTTACCTCTGGTTTCACCTCCTGCACACTTTCATCTTACTGTTAAAACAAGTTGGACAAAGATCATACAATTTTGCTGTTTAAAGCTTTGTGTAGCACAGAGTTTACACATAATGAAAAACACATAAACATTAAAAAAATACATAAATACCAAACTAAAGATTTTTTTGTGTGTTTATTCATTGACAATGATCATTTGAGGTTGAAGGTGTTCAGGAGGTAAGAGCTAAGTGTTGTTTGTCAGGCACCCATAAAACAATTTGTGATCCTAAATTATGGTTCCTTAAGTCTTGGACATCCAACAGGTGACAAGGGATATCCAATATAAAAGGCTCTTAGAACAAATCGATAAATGAATGTTTGTAAATCACCTGTAGTTGTATATCCAGGTAAGGTGAACTTTTGGTCTGATTCTGTGTTGTTATTAAGACCTGTCATAACTTTGCCAGTGCCAACACACAAACAAAAAAGTAACTGAACATGTCAAGCTGTTCATGTAAACATAGGAATTAAATTCACTTTCCTTTTCTGAAGCAAACAGTGGACCTAGCTGGCAATCCTTTGCTTTTGCAAGGCACCTCTCGCCCATGTTGTTAGCTATTCATGGTGTTCAAGTGATGTGCTTTTTCTTCTGGTTTCTTGGATGTGGAGGCCTATTAAAAATAGTGCGGCTTTGGGCACAGAAATTTGTCTGTAAGCAGTATCTGGGATGTTTTGGCACTGGGCATTGTAATGTTTGACCCAAAACCCAGGTTGATATAAGTTGAGGCATCTGAACTTGGATGGCTGGTTTTGTGAGAGATTGGTGTAGAAAGCAGCTAACTGCCTTCTGAAAGGCCATCAAGAAGTGCTCAGTTCTCCACTCAAGACAGGAGCTGTGCTTGTGACAACGTAAAAGCATAAGGATTGGTACTGAAGTGGAATGAACTGAGACACACTGAATCTAGTAGGTTCCTGAGAGCTCAGATATAATAGATAGGAAGAGGCTGAGAACACAGTCTCAGGTTTTTCAGTAAAGCCATAGAAAGTTATGTGTATATAAAATGCCTAGCTAGGAGTATGGAAAATATGAGTTAAGGAAGATCTGAAGAGAAATATTGTTTGTCAGATGTAAGAGGTGTGCTGGCCTAGAACATTGAATTAAATGGACTAGTTGTCTTCCCAAATGTTCAACGTTGTTGAGACAAATTATCTTGGTTACAGTAACTCCTTTTACATCTAAACAGTGGGGTTTCATCCATCATTTGGCATCTCATGTACAGGCTGTGCAAGAGATAATAGAAATATGTTAGTTCTCAAGCCCTTTGCTGTCTGCAAGCCCTGTGAAGGATAATGCATACACAATATAACGTAAATTATGTTCTGAGGTCTTTGAGCAGGAGATTGAAATAGTTTATGCTGTTTAACTCAGCCAGTGTTGAGTATGAATTTTTTTAAGGGTGTATTTTATGTATCATAACTGTTGTTAACAGGCAAAATTATATTGGTCATTGTTAATGACGATCATGAGCCACATTATGCTTTAGATGTGATAATATGTAGAGGCAGACATTTTGGCATAACATTAGATAACAAATAACCAAGAAATAAACATGTCTGGTGTGTCAGAATCAAAGTGTTTTTCCAACTTCTGATTTTTAATTTTCTTACATTCTCTTGTTAGTATACATGCTGAAGACATTATAGCTGGTCCATTAAAAAAAATTACAAATGATTACTGGACACTACTTCCTTTATCCATTTACTTAACTCATTAATGGAACTGTCTGGAATGTTTTAGTTTCTTATTTTTGGAACCATATTACCTTTCAAGTTTAAACTTCATAGTTATGGAATGCAATTAATAAGCAAGTAATCTGAAGGAATCAGTTTCACTCTACATCATAACTTGTATAGCAGCTGTGATCAAGATGTCTTTAAGTTTCTTGGGTTTTTTTGGTCTCATTCAGTTATTGAATGCAAGTATAAGTAAATCAAATCGGATATTTAATTTTTTTTTAAATTTAGGGGCCATCCAAAAATGTGATAGGTAATTTTCTGACTCTAGACTGCATTATATCCTTCCTTCGTGCTACCCCAGAGAGGGTGTGCTCAAATAGTTATGATTCTTATCATTGTTATCATGGTTGTCACATTGTTATCATTGTTATCACTTTGGAGGAGCGGTGCTTTCACTTTTTAAAGACAGTGATTTGTGACAAAATTTGAGTGAAAATATGGGTCTTGCAATTGTCTTCAGACCTCAGAGTCTTGTCCTGGTTTGAGTGGTGGTTTTTTTTGGTAGCAGGAGAGGGGGCTACAGCCGTGACCTCCTGTGAGAAGCTTCTCGAAGCTCCCCTGGCTCCAAGTCGGACCTGCCTTTGCACCAGGGATGAGCCAGTGAGCAACAGGGGCCGTGCCTCTGCGAGAATGTATTTAAGAAGGGGAATCTGGGGGCATTTGGGGGAGTTGTGAGGAGAAGTTGTGAGGTGAAGATCTGTGTGAACACTGAGGTCACTGGAAGAAAGGAGCAGAAGGGGGGGAGGCATGTCACAACAGAGAGTCCCCTGTATCCATGGTGAGGCAGCAGGGCCGTCCCCCACCCATGGAGGTCTGCAGCGGAGCAGATATTTATTTGCGGCCTGTGGGAAGCCCCACGCCGCCCCAGGTGACTGTGCCCAGTGAAGACCAGGACCCCATGGGAGGAAGGCCCCGCTGTTGTAGTTTGGTGCTGGGAGGATTGCAACACGTGGGGGTGACCCACATGCCCGTGGGAGGGACTCATGTCGGAGTTGGTTTGGGGAGGACTGTCTCCTGTGAGAGGGGGACTGCGCTGGAGCAGGGGAGGGATGCCAGAAGTTTCCCCCCCTC